CTTTAGTATGCACAGCAGATGAAATAGTGTTGCGTACCCATAACACCAAGCACACACATGTACGGCATAGCGAACATAACGAGGCAGCCACACACATTCTCACACGTATACCATGCAACCTGGCACAACGCCTCACATCTAACAAGACACCATGGCAACCGACAGAAATCACGTCAAGCCAACCGCGTGTAATATTTACGAACGAACAATTTACTCGACTTGCGCCGCGGAGGGCCCTCTTTTATCCTTGTCTTAAACTCTGTCACGGCCAATGACCAAGCAATGGTGTCGCCCCGCCGCCAAACTGAGCACTGCAATGGCTGGAGCCCGCCGCAAACCGAAGTTGGGCATCCAAGCGAACCCTCACCATCCCACTAGCGCAAACCCTCTCAACTTCCCTCTTCAATGCTGCTGCGATGCACCGTCGTCCGCGGGAATGTCCAACGCCAATCGTGAAGAGGGAGGACACAAAGGGGGCGCCGTCAATACAAGCTCGCCGGGGGGGGGGGTCCTTGGGCCTCCAGGGCCCCCTGGAGCCTCCTGGAGCCTCCTGAAGCCTCCTGGAGCGATCTGGGGCCTCCTTAGGTACCCTGGCAACTTCCTGGTGTTTTGGGGGCCTCCTGGGGCCGCGGGGCCATGAGCTTCCGTAGGCCTCCGAGACCAAGCCAGGAATCTCCGAAAACCTAGCCAAAGCTCACGTTGCCCCCATCGCACTTACGAGCCACATCCCAAAAATAATTCCGCGCATCCTGAAAAGTACCGAAACGATGTCGAACGAGCATCACCTTCCAGGGCCCGGCACGCGAAAACCTTGCAGTTTAGGTGCTGTCTTGGTGCTCGGAATTCCTTCTGGCGATCAAAGCTAAAATCGGTTGGAACATCGCGAGCAGAAGCATCCCAACCGCGCCTCCCCCATCATCCGAAAGCCTCGCAAGGGCCCCCGAACGTCTCGCACAATCACGCGCTAGTGCGCGCCGCGGGGTTACGAACCAACGGGTCACCAAAGTGTTGCGCGTCGCATTATACCGCTCGAAATACGCACCACTCAATGACCCATCAACTGGTGGCCCGCGCCTTGCACCAGCGTCTGTCCGCGGACAAGCCGGCGCGTTCAAAACGCAAACGAATGTCTGGGGCGCGAGGTTCAAAAGTTCCGCCCCAGGGCGATGAAATGTGGCAGGGGTTCAAGGCCAAAGCCGCCAGGTAATGAAGGACCCGAATGACCAGACAACGTTTCCCGTACTTTGGCCTTCGCGAGCGCGATACTGCTGGTGGATTGTTTCCCCTTCCACGCCTTCGCGCGCGCCGCGCTGATGATGGCGATGACGATAACGATGCATTTTCAATATGACCAAGTCGCACGCTTGGCAGGGGGGCGCGCGCAGGCTCGACCTCATGTCGAGCATTGACGTTGGGGCGCCCACTGGCGTCCCAGAAGCGCGGGTGATAGCGGGTGGGTTCACGTTTCTGGGAAAGGGGGCCGCGTCGCAACGCCTGCCGCGAAAATGGCGACGTGCGCGCAAAGCCATGATTAGCCGCATCGTCCCAGACCCACCAGCCTGATGACGATAGTCCCCATACATGCGCTCGCGCGCGCCACTGGGTTACGGACCAACGGGTCACCGAGGTGCTGCATGCCGGACTTTTTCGCGCAAAGTTCGCACCTCCCAATAGCCCGTCACGTGGCCCGTGCCTTACACTACCGTCCGTCCGCGGACAGGCCGGCACGTCCAAAACGCATGCGAATGTCTGGGACACGAGGTCCAAAGTTCCGCCACAGGGCGATGGGATGATGCGGGGGCGCAGGTGACCAGAAAACGTTTCCCGTACTTTGGCCTTCGCGAGCGCGTTCCTGCTGGTTGATCTTTTCCTCTTCCACGCCTTCGCGCGCGCCGCGCTGATGGCCATGGCGACGATCGATGTATTTCTCAAATTAGGTAAGTCGCACGCTTGACAGGGGGGCGCGCGCAGGCTTGACCTCGCGTCGAGCATTGGTCTCAGGGCGCCCGCCGGCATCGCCGGCCCGCCGCGCGGGCGACCGCGCGCGCGCGACCCCGCGCGCTGCGTCCGACGGCCGATTTGCCACCGGCCAGGCCCGAGAAGCCACCGGCCAGGCCCGAGCCATCTCTGCCCGCTGCGCCCCAGCCTGAACCAAGCCGCCGAAGTCACCTCTGGAAGCGCCGTCGCCCGGGTTCGCGTCTGTCGGGACGCGGCCGACGCGCTTGGCGACCGATGCTTCTGCGCGCAGCTGCCAGGAGAGAACCGCGAGCGAGCGCAAGTCATCCCTGTTCGAAAACCACCTGCGCTGGCTCTGCACCCATGTAAAGGATGGCCTTCTTCTCGCCCGCGGCGAGGCGGAAGTCTTCGACGACCAAAACGGCGGCGAAGTCTTCGATCGTTCGATCTGCGTCCGTTCTGGGGCAAGGACTCTGGGTCGCCCAAGCTGCCGCAGAAACTCGCCCCCGTCGTTCTCCCCAGCGCGAGGCGGCCGACGCGCGGCGCCCGGTCGCCTCCAGGCCCCAGGGGGTCGGGGTAGAACCCGTCTGTTAACGCGACGCAATCCAACGACGCGCCCTCCGCAGGCACCGGGCCTCGAGGCCGGCCGCCGCGCCGAAGCTACGCCGCAAGCGCAACGGCCCTGCACTGGCGGGGTTGACGACGCGCCCCCCGCCGCGCTGACGCTCGGAGAGCGCCCGAAGGAACGCCCCCCCGACGCAGCCCCAGACGCGCGCGGCCACGCGCCCCAGGCGCCCTTTGAGCTTCGCGGCGAAAGCTGGGGCGAGGATGCCGATGGCCAATGCGTCGCCGACGGCGCGCCAGCTGTCCTCCTCGCGCTCCGCGAAGGCGATGAGCGGCTGCTCGCTGAGGAGATCGCAACCGAAGCCGAGGGCCACGGGGCCCGCGCAGCAACGCGCCTTCTCCTCAGCGAAATCTACACCGAGCCACTGGCGAAGGCCCTGGGCGATCAAAATATCATTCGGGGCCGCCGCGCCGGAGGCGAACCCGAACTTGTCGTCGGGGCTTCATTCCTGGCCGCCACCTTGCAACGCCCCCGCAGGGAGTCTGCGATGAGCGCCGCCTTCGCGTTGGCGTAGTAGACGGCGGCTAGAAGGCCGCAGCTGTGGCCGACCATCACGAAGAAGGCAGTCTGGACTGTCTCTGGCTCGACGAATGCAACCGCCGCGCCCCCCCAGTGATGCGGCGCGATGGGAAGCGACTGGCGCGTGCGGCCGTCGCCCAGGGCGCGCCCGGTCAATTCCAAGCTGCCGAGCCTCGCCGCCAAGAGATTGACCCTGAACGCACAGCTGCGTTGTCAACGCCTCGAGTCTTCCGCTGCTGCACCGCGCCGAACTGCTCGGTAGGGATCTAAACGCACAGCCCCCAAGAAAGCGCCGACGTCGCGGCGCGCGCGGAATTGGCCTACGCCATGGCTACGACCGGCGTCCTTGATGGTGGCTCTCCACTGGTCCTGCCTGCCCCCCCGATCAGTGGACCTTGCCGTCGTCTTCAAGGCGCGCTCCTGGCTCTCCCAGGCCCGGCGACTCAGGTCGCACTCAGATGTCTCTGGCACCGCGGTGCGCGAGATGGTCGGCCGCCGACCGGACCTCGCGACGGCGCCGACAGTCGGCGCGCCGGCCACGAGATCTTCGATGCGGCCAGCGTCCGCAGCAGAGGCCACGCGAGCGAGGGCGCGGCGCTGCGACGGGCGCGCGAACTCGCCCAACTGGCACGCGGCCTTGTATTTGACGACGTTGTTGAAGCAAAGCCCGCGGATGACCGCGTTTTTGATGGCGAAGATCTCGCCCGGGGGCACCTGCTTAGAGCCGCTCCGCGCGGCGCGCCCGTGTCGCCGTGGCCCCGCCGCTGCTGGGGCCCGCCCGGGGATGCGAGGTGCCCGAGACCGGGGCAACTCGACCTCCTTCGCGGAAGGGCGGTGCACTCGTGAGGCGACCCAGGCCGCCGCGCCGAGCTCGCTTGCCGGAGTTCCGCCGGCGCTTCGAGGGCCGCGCCACTGACGCCCCCAATGGGCATGTCCTTTCGGCGGCGACCATCGCGAAGAAACCGCTGGACGCCGAGATGTCCGTAGCCCCGTCCAAGCGAGGCTCGGGGCAGCTCGCCCCGCTTGCCCGAGCGACCCCCCCCGGCCCTTCCGCGTGGCACGGTTCGCCCGCTGCGCCACGGCAGAATCTTGCCGCGAAGGTCGGGAAGGCTCTGCATGAGGTCCGGCTGTCGCGCGATCCAGCCCCGACGCTGGCGGGCGCGCGCCGCCGCGGGCCCGCGGTCAACGGGTTCGCCCGACGGGGCCCTCGCAGGCCGCGCGCAGCCGCAGCGCGGCGCTGTCTCTCCGCGCGCGCGTGCGTTCGGCGGCGAGGGCGGAGACTTCGGCCAACGACGCGCGCCGCTGCGCGGGAGGCCCTGGCCTCTCCGGACGGCGCAGAAAGAAGGCGCCGGCCGCTCGGCAACTCGCTCGCGGCATGCCCCTGGGTTGCCCTGGTGGCCCCGCGCGCGGAAAACGCGTCGCTGCAGCCTGGGGCGCCGCGCCCTGCGCGCCGCCGTCGAACCGCTCTGAGTCCCCCGACCCATGCACGGGGCCTCTCGCTGGCGCGCGTCGCGACTCACCTTGCAGGCGCCGCTCTGGAGCACTGTGTCCCTGACGTCGATGTCGCGCCACGGCGTCTAGCGCCCTGGGCGCGCAGTGGCCCCGTGGGCCAGCGCGCTGCCGGCGCCGTGACGAAGGCCAGAATCCCGCCCAATAAGGCATTCGCCGCCTCGACTTTCGCCGAGGGCGCGGGCCAGAGAAGTCCGAGGGGCCGCGCGGGTGCGCCGGCGACCAGAGACGCCTCGGAGCACCTGTGCTGCGGGTTTGATATTCCGCCCGCGCAGCTCGCGGCAGGCCGGGCCGAACAAAGCTGGCGCCTCGCTGGGCGCAGCAACTGGTTGAAAACATCAGGGGCCAAACAAACGCGTCGATTGCCCCCCGCAAAATCCTCGACGCCGGCGAGGGGCAAGACGCAGTGGTCGCGGTGGGAGAAGTGCGGGGATAATAGAAGCAACGACTTGGCGGCGCTATGAAGTCAGCTGGGGCGTCGACCCCAGAGCGCCAAGCGCGCCGGGAAACCGCGCGCGGCCGCGACGCGCCAGCCGCTTGCCGGCCATTCGCCATCAGGGCGTGGCCAGGGGCTTCGCGCGTCGCGGCCGCGGCCAAAGTCGGGGCGCAAGGCGCTCGCCGTGCCAGCGACGCGGCAACCGCTCAGCCCTAGTGGCGCCTTTCCGCCCGCGGGTGCTCGTCACTCCCGCGCGCCCGGCAGACGCGCCAGGAGGAGCGACCGTCGTCGCGGCGGCAGCCCGCCGACGTGAAGAAACGGCATGTCTTATCCACCTTCGGCCGGCCCTCCTTGCAGAGCGCCTGCCGCTCCGCGTGAGGGGCTCGGGTAATTTGGCCCTTGCTGGTGGCCGCGCTGCTGCTGACGTTGCTGCCGCTGCCTCTCCAGCTGACGCCCGGCATGATTGTTCTCGGCGCTGGCGGGCTGCCACCAGAAGACTGGCGCTCCATCCGCATCTCCGACCGACCACAAGCAACGACGGTTGTGAAAAACAAATTATCCCAGTGCGACCCTACCTAGGAGTTGGAACCCCTAGGAAAGCAGCATTAGTTGATACAGTAACGCTAAGCTAAAGCTAAGCTGAAGCTGAGCTGGAACTAAGCTAAAGCTAAGCCACAGCTAAGCTAAAGTTAAGCTAAGGCTAAGCTAATGCTAAGCTAAAGCTAAGCTAAAGCTAAGCTAAAGCTAAGCTAAAGCTAAGCTAAAGCTAAGCCGAAGCCAAGCTAAAGCTAAGCTAAAGCTAAGCTAAAGCTGAGCAGCAGCTGAGAAGCAGCTAAGCTAAAGCTAAGCTACAGCTAAGCTAAAGCTAACTAAGCTAAAGCTCAGCTAAAGCTAAGCTAAAGCTAAGCTGAAGCTAAGCTAAAGCTAAGCTAAAGCTAAGCAACAGCTAAGCTGAAGCTAAGCTAGCGCTAAAGCTAAAGCTAAAGCTAAAGCTAAGCTAAAGCTAAGCTGAAAACGCTGAGCGAAAAGTTAAGCTACAACTAAACTAAAACTAAACTACAGCTAAGCTAAAGCTAAGCTAAAGCTGAGCAGCAGCTAAGCTAAAGCTAAGCTAAAGCTAAAAAGCTGCTGCTAAAGCTCCCAGGGGACTGGGGGGAACCGCGGGGCGGGGACTGGGGGAACCGCCCGGGGCGCTTTCCACTGCCCGGCCCCTTTAAGCTAGAGAGTAAGAACCCTTCTAGGCAGAGCCTAGGCAGGGGAAAAAAAGACAAGAAAGAAACACACAAAAAAAAAACTCGCACATCGCGGACGCGCACGACCTGTGCGCGGACGTGAACTCGACCGGAATTTCGTGCACTTTTGTTTGAAGCACTGGTCGATCTTGGGTCGAGCTCCTTCAAAACTGTGAAAGGGCCCCAGGTAACGTCGCCTTGCGCCAGCGAGCCCGCGACATGGCCGAAGCGGAGGCGGCCCTTGCACTCGCAGGCTATGTACAAGGAGGTGATCCGATAAATCGCATGGTCCACGAGGACCACCTACGACGGCAGATCCTCCTGGGGGGCCTTCAACAGCTGATCGGCGGTCGTCGACAGGTCGCTGGATGCGCTGCGAATTCGCCCGGATCTCGCCGATTGCGCATGGCAAAATGACTTCGTGTATCGTGAAATTTCCGTCCAACCGCTCCCAAAAACTTCCGTGGGGCATTATGAAATCGGTTATCCAGAAATCCTTGTGCAGCGCGACGAAATTCGCCCGCTTCTGCCCGTGCACCTGGATGCCCATCTCGGGAATCCAACGGGGGACACCCTCGAGACACGCGCGGGGAGCGTCCCGGACCTCCACGAAGGCGCGGCGTTTCCGCCAACGCGCCGCAGGGGAGATGAGTCCCCGCCTCCGCGTGCAAGCGCGCGACGTTGTTGACCTTGAACGTCTCGTGGATGCTAAGCCAAATGCTTCTGGAGCACCGCATGCACGCAGGATGCTTCCGCTCGCAATGAGGCAGGTTGTCAGCGCGGAGAAAATGAAACGCACAAGATTTACCGTTTCGGCTTCCGACGGCAAGTGCAACGATTGAAATTACCTCGGAGTGAGATGATGAATCGATTAGCCCCCGCTCGAAATCAAGGGCGCCCGATCAAGATGGCCGCCCGCGGGGCATGCCTCGATATGGGGCCGGCCAGGGCGATGCGCTCCGGCGCGGGCCGCCTGGCTAACTCGCCCAACGCACGCCATCATGGGGCCGACCAGGGAGCAGGCCCTCTCATGGGGCCGCTCGCCAAGACGACGCAATCCGGCGCCAGCCGCCCGACAGTGCATCCAATCTTCAGGCCGCCAAGGGAGCAGACCCCTCATGGGGCCGTTCGCCAGGGCGATGCACCCCGATTGATCGGCTGTGCTGGCCATTCCGTGCTTTTTTTGGTGCACCAGCCCATCCGTGACTTCTGGGCATAACTGAATGGACCCCGTCATGGGCCCACGCGCCGGGACGCCGCACTTCGGCGCGAGGCGCCCGGCACACTCGCCCGACAGTGCGCTCGCCATGGGGCCGTCCAGAGTCTAGAGAGCAAGCCCCTTCATGAGGCCGCTCGCCAAGAAGATGCACTACAGCATCCGCCAGCGCCCGCCGTTTGGTATACCCGAACAGTGATCCCCATTAGGGGGCCGCCACGTGAGCGGGACCCCATCATGGGGAAGCTCGCCAAAACGATGCACTACTACTTCAACGGCTGCGATTACTACTACCACTACTAATTCTCGTAGTAGTAGTAGTAGTAGTAGTAGTAGTAGTTAGTAGTAGTAGTAGTAGTAGTAGTAGTAGTAGTAGTAGTAGTAGTAGTAGTAGTAGTAGTAGTAGTAGTAGTAGTAGGTAGTAGTAGTAGTAGTAGTAGTAGCACTACTACTACTACTACCACTAATACTACTACTACTACTACTACTACTACTACTACTACTACTACTACTACTAGTACTAGTACTAGTACTAGTACTAGTACTACTACGACTACTACGACGACTACGACTACGACTACGACTACGACTACTACGACTACTACTACTACTACGACGACGACGACTACTACTAGTACTAGGACTAATACTACTACTAGTACTACTACTACTACTACTACTACTACTGCTGCTAAGATTACTACTCGAACTCCTACTTCGTCTCTAACCTCTACTACGACCACTACTGCTACTACTACTACTACGGCGGCGACTACTACTACTACTACTACGACTACTACTACTTCTACGGCTACTACTACTACTACTACTACTACTACGATGACTAATACTACTAATACGACAACAACAACTACTACTACTACGACTACTACGACTACTACTACTACTACTACTAATACTACTACTACTACTACTACTATTACTCCTACTACTACTACTACTACTACAACGACCAATACATGTACTACGACTACGACTACGACTACGACTACGACTACTACGACTACGACGACTACTACTACTACTACTACATCAATTACTACGACTAGTATTACCAGGACTACTACTACTACTATGACGGCTACAACAACAATTACTACTACTACGGCTTCCACTACTACTACTACTACTACTACTGCTACTACTACTACTACTACTACTACTACTACTGCTACTACTGCAACTACTGTTACGACGACTACTACTACTACTACTACTACTAGTACTACTGCTACTCCTACTACGACTACTATGCCTACCACTACTTATTCTATCTACGGCTGATACTACTCATATTACTGAAACGAAGAGAACTACTACTACGACGACAGCAACTACTAGTATGACTTCCACAGCTACTATCAACATCAATATACCGCTAGTACTTGTACACGTACGGGCACGGGTATTATTGTGACTACATGTGCTACTACTACTACGACCACCGCTACTACTACTACTACTACTACTGCTACTACTACTACAACTACTACTACTACTACGGCTACTACAGCACCTACAATTACTACTAACGTTCTTATGACTCTGAGTACACCTACTACCGCTCTTACTACAACTACGACTACCAATGCTACTACTACTACTACTACTACTACTACTACTATTACTACTACTACTACTACTACTACTACTACCATTACTACTACTACTACCACTACAAAACATAACTCCTATAACTATTACTATCTCTACTAGATCTACTTCTACTTTGACTACACCTCCTTCTACTACGACTACAACTACTACAACTACTACTAGGACTACTACCACTAGTACTAGTAGTAGTAGTAGTAGTACTACTACTACTGCTACTACTACTACTACTAGTACGATAAAATGCAACAGCTGATGCGACTACGGCTGCGGCTACCACTACCACTACCACTACTACGACTACTACTACTACTACCACTACTACTACTACTACTACTACTACTACTACTACTACTGATACTGATACTACTACTAGTACTACTACTACTACTACGACTCATACTCATACTCATACTACTACTACTACTACTACTACTACTACCGCTACTACTACTACTACTACTACTACTACTACTACTGATACTACTACTACTACTACAACGACGAACGCTACTACTACCACTACTACTACTACTACTACTACCACCACAACTACTACTTCTTTTTCTACTACTACCACTACTTGTGCTATTACTACTACTACTACTACTACTACTACTACTACTACTACTACTACTACTGCTGCTACTGCTACTGCTACTGCTACTGCTACTGCTACTGCTACTGCTACTGCTGCTGCTACTACTACTACTACTACTACTACTACTACTACTATTGTTACTTCTACTTCTACTACGACTAGTACTTCTGTGACGACTACTACTACTACTACTACTACTACTACTACTACTACTACTACTACTACTACTACTACTACTACTACTACTACTACTACTACTTCTACTACGACTACTACTACTACTAGTTTTGCTGCTACGGCTAAACTGCTATAATTCGCCATCCCAACGGGCCAGAGGCGTGCTAAGATCTCCGGTAACTGCTAAATAATACTTCCACTTCGCGCGCGCGGGGCGGCCCCTGGGGTCCACGGACGAAAAGTACCCTGGGCGATCCCCGGCAGGGTCGGGTCAGAGATGGTTTTCCTCCTGGGCGCCGCCCCCGTGGCCCTCCAGAGAGCCCCAAGAAGGGCCACGAGGCCGCCAAGAGCCCTCCAAGATGGTTCAAGAGTGCTCCGAGATGCCACACGATCGTTCCAAGACGGCCAAGATGGCCCCCAGACGCCCCAAGAGGCCTCCAAGAGCACTCCCCAGAAGGCCCCAGGAGGCAAAAGTCATTACTTTTCCTTAGGGTTTGGCCAGATTTTGGCGTGTCCATCTTTTCGGCTTCCCGACGCCCCAAGACGGCCCAAGAGGCCCCCAAGATCGCCCCAAGAGGGCCCAAGAAGCTCCCAAGAAGACCCCAAGATGGCCCAAGTGGGCTCAAAGACGGCCCCAGAGGCATCCAAGACGGCCCAAGAGGGGGCTCAGAGGGGCCCAAGAGGACCCCAAGCGGTGCCCCAAAGGGGGAACACAAAACAAAACTTCGAGCACTCGGTCTTAAGAAGCCCCCAGGTGAGGCCCCTGAGAGGCCCCAAAAGGCCCCAAGAGGCCCTCAGGAGGCCCCCAAGCGACGCTGAAGAGGCCCCCCAGCGGCCCCAAGAGGCTCCCCAAATGCCCCCACCAGCACGCAAGCAAATGCCAACTACCCGACGCGTTTAAGAGTCCCCACGAGGCCACCAAGAGGCCTCCCAAAAGAGCCCCCATAGGCAACAGGCTTCCACACGGGCCACGACGCTGTCAAGACTCCCCTAGCGGCCACCCAGAAGCCTCCCGAGAAAGCCCCCATAAGCGAGAATACATGTTGTCTTATGCGATTTCCAACAAATTCAGCCAAAGAGGGTTTCAGGAGGAGCCCGAAAACGCTTCAGGAGGAGCCCACACGGGGCCAAGACAGCTCCAAGATTTTTGAACGAATCCAGCCCAACACGGTTTCAGGAGGAGCCCGAAAACGCTCGAGGGGGAGCCCAAATGGGTCCAGGATAGCTCCAAGATTTACCAACGAATCCACCCCAAGAGAAGGTTTCAGAAGGAGCCCGAAAACGCTCCAGGAGGAGCCCACACGGGTCCAAGATAGCTCCAAGATTTTTGAACGAATTCAGCCGAAGAAGGTTTCAGGAGGAGCCCGAAAACGCTCCAGGAGGAGCCCACACGGGGCCAAGATAGCTCCAAGATTTTTGAACGAATTCAGCCCCAGAAGGTTTCAGGAGGAGCCCGAAAACGCTCGAGGGGGAGCCCACATGGGTCCAGGATAGCTCCAAGATTTACCAACGAATCCACCCCAAGAGAGGGTTTCAGGAGGACCCCGAAAACGCTCCAGGAGGAGCCCAAATGGGTCCAGGAGAGCTCCAAGATTTTTGAACGAATTCAGCCCAACACGGTTTCAGGAGGAGCCCGAAAACGCTCGAGGGGGAGCCCAAATGGGTCCAGGATAGCTCCAAGATTTACCAACGAATCCACCCCAAGAGAGGGTTTCAGGAGGACCCCGAAAACGCTCCAGGAGGAGCCCACACGGGTCCAAGATAGCTCCAAGATTTTTGAACGAATTCAGCCCAACACGGTTTCAGGAGGAGCCCGAAAACGCTCGAGGGGGAGCCCAAATGGGTCCAGGATAGCTCCAACATTTACCAACGAATTCACCCCAAGAGAGGGTTTCACGAGGAGCCTCCAGAGAGCCCCAAG